CCAAGCCGGAGAGAGTCCTGAAGATCGGAGCCAAGCTCCCCGAAGACCTGAAGGCTGGCATCACCGAGGCCCTCCGCGCCTACTCCATTGTTTTTGCATGGGGGCCGGAGGATATGCCAGGAATCGACCGAAGGGTTATCACCCACCGCCTAGCGGTGGACCCTTCGGCCAAACCAGTACAACAACGAAGAAGGCCCCTCTCGGCCGAGAGAAGGGAGTTCGTGAAGAAGGAGGTATCTATGCTCCTCTCCATCAAACACATTAAGGAGGTGAAATATCCTTCTTGGTTGGCAAACGTTGTCCTCGCACAGAAGCCTCCTACCTTCCGCATGTGCGTGGACTACACTGATCTGAATAAGGCGTGCCCTATGGACCCCTTCCCTCTGCCGAACATCGATCAACTTGTGGATGAGACCGCGGGATGCGAGATTATGTCCTTCCTCGACGCATTCCGCGGGTATCATCAAATCTACATGCATGAGGAAGACGCTGAAAAAACTGCCTTCATGACACCCGAAGGCATCTTCTGCTATCTTGTGATGGCCTTCGGCCTCAAAAATTCAGGCGCCACCTACACACGCATGGTGGCTAGGGTCTTTCAAGCTGTCCTAGGACGCACCATGGAGGCTTACGTTGACGATATGATCGTCAAAAGTAAGAAGGCAAGCACTCACGCCGACGACCTCCGGGAGATTTTTGCCATCATGCAAAAATTCAACCTCCGGCTAAATCCGAAGAAATGCACCTTCGGCGTGCAGGGAGGAAAATTCTTGGGCTACATGGTCAGCCGAAGGGGTATTGAGGCCAACCCCGAGAAGATCCAGGCCATCATCAACATGGAGCCTCCACGCAACGTCAAAGAAGTTCAACGGCTGACGGGTCGCCTGGCGGCCCTCAACCGATTCCTCTCTAAGTCAGCCGAGAGGGCCCTCCCCTTCTTCCAAATCATGAGGAAGACAGCTGGCTTCCAATGGACATCTGAGTGTCAAGAGGCCTTCGACGAACTCAAGAAGTACCTCTCCTCTCCCCCAGTGCTCTCCAAACCGAAGGTGGGGGAGACCTTATACTTATATCTCGGTGTTAGCCCTGCGGCTATCAGCTCAGTACTAATCCGAGAGGAAGACGGCATCCAACATGCCATCTTCTACGTCAGCAAAACCCTCCGGGAGGCCGAACTCAGGTATTCTCCCGTCGAGAAGACGGTGCTAGCCATCGTTTGGACCGTCAAGAAGCTTGGCCACTACTTTCAAGCTCATCCGGTCCAAGTGCTCACTCATCAACCCCTCGGCGCCCTCATGAGGAGTCCCACTAGCTCCTCCCGGATGGTAAAATGGGCCATCTTCCTCAGTCAATACAACATAGATATCCGTCCGAGGCCTGCCATTAAGGGCCAAGCCCTGGCAGACTTCGTAACGGAATGCACCGCAAGATCAACAACAGACGAGGAGCCTTCGACACCCCTCGATGAGTGGTGGACGCTCTATACCGATGGCTCCTCGGCCACCAAAGCATGCGGAGGAGGAGTGGTTCTGATCACACCCGAAGGCTTCCGCGCCTATTATGCCGTCCGCTTCTCCTTCAAAGTATCAAACAATGAAGCCGAATACGAAGCCCTCCTTTGCGGCCTTCGGCTGGCAGCGAATCTGAAGGCTAAGATGATCCACGTCAAGTGTGACTCCAAACTCGTCGTGGGTCAAATTTCCGGAGAGTACGAAGCCAAAGAAGGGAGGATGAAACAGTACAAAGAAGCGGCTAAGGAGTTGCTTAAGGTATTTGAGGCACATTCCCTCACCCAAATACCGAGGGCTCAAAACTCTGAGGCCGACATTCTATCCAAACTCTCAGATGAGTCCCCCGAGCACCTCTCAAAAATTGCAAGAATCGAGGAGCTCAGCCTCTCAAGCATCCACGCAAGCCCCATTATGAACATTAACCTGAGACCGGAGGATTGGATCTCCGACATCGCCACCTTCATCACCACGGGGCAACTACCCCAAGATGAGGCCCGCGCGAGATTGACAAAACTGAGGGCTCCCAGCTACACCCTCGAGAACGGAAGGCTTTACAAAAGATCTTACAACGGCACCCTCCTTCGGTGCCTTCATCAAGGTGAAGCCGAAGTCGCTATGGAGGAAGTGCACAGTGGCACTTGCTCAGCTCACCAGGGACCCTTCTCCATGTCCCGAAGGCTCGTAGTTCAAGGCTACTTCTGGCCCACGATGGCTAGGGATTGTGCTGATCTAGCCCGAAGGTGCACCGCTTGCCAACACTTTCAGAAGGCCCCCGGCAGACCAGCGGTCAACTATGCTCCCATCAGCACCGCTATACCCTTCTCCAGATGGGGGATTGACTTAGTAGGCCCTCTGCCAAGGGGCACCTCCAACAACAGGTACATTATTGTGGCCATTGACTACTTCACCAAATGGGTGGAGGCGGAGCCCCTCGCCAGCATCACGGAGGCCCGATGCCGTCACTTTGTCCTCAAGAACATTCTCACAAGGTTTGGCGTCCCCCAACAAATCATCTCCGACAACGGGACTCAGTTCGAGGCAGCCCCCTTCTGCGCCCTCCTTGAAGCTTGGGGCATCAAGCACACATTCTCTTCCGTTGCCTACCCTCAGGGCAACGGGCAAGTAGAGAACGCCAACCGAACCCTACTTGAAGGGTTGAAGAAAAAGCTGGAAGCCGAAGGGGGAGGCTGGGTAGAAGAGCTACACAACATCTTGTGGGCCTACCGTACCACCCCTCGGCGTGCAACAGGCGAAACACCCTTCTCCCTATGCTATGGCTTTGAGGCTAAGGCTCCAACAGAGGTTACCCTTCCTACCCGAAGGGTGGAACAATATGAGCCCGAGGCCAACGACGCAAACATGGCCCTCGACCTTCATCTCATCTCGGAACGCCGAGAGCAAGCTTTCCTCAGGGCCGAAAACTATAGGAGACAAGTCAAAGGATACATCGACGCCAAGGTCCGCTCTCGGGAATTCCAGGTGGGAGACTACGTCCTCCGACGAAGGGAGGCCAGTCTACCCACCGAAGGAGGAAAGATGGCACCCAAGTTTGAGGGCCCCTACATCGTCTCAGCCATCATCAAACCGGGGAACATACAAATTAAAACGTCCTAATGGGACAGAGATTCCTAGACATTGGAATGTGCACCACCTTGTCAAGTTCTATCAATAAGGCGTGAGCGGCCAAGCCCTCACCCTCAGCAAGTATAAATATCAGTGGCCCAAGGCCCCATCTGTTTTTGAAGAATAATCAAAAGGCCTAGCCTTTATCACCTACATATTATACAAACGGCCCAAGGCCCCCTTCTCCCCTACAAATGAGTGGCCAAGCCCTCATCGCTTCACCAAAATAGGCCCAAGGCCTCTCCCTCTCATGAGGGGGAAAGACAGTTTAGGTACCAAGTACCAAGTGTATGGGCCACCCCCATCACTCTTTGAAAACACCTAGTGTTTTCTCACTAAGCCGTACCCCACGAGGACGCAACCATGCATACATTATGCATACTTTTACATACTCTCATAAAAAAAAAAAAAAAAAAAAAAAAAAAAAAAAAAAAAAAAACCGGGGGGTGCAATACCCCTCGGCTCCGGCTGGTACCAAGTGCCCCCGGCTATTTGTGTCCCACATACAAATAAAACCCTTCCCAGGAACGCTTTCCGCGCCATCCCCCAAGGGGAGGCAGGCAACGGACCATGTCCCGGGCCCAGGATTCGACTTCCACAAACGAAACGCTCCCCGCGCTATCTCCCAAGGGGAAGCAGGCAACAGACCATGTCTCGGGCTGAGGGGACGACTTTCAAAACCGAGGCGCTTTCCGTGCTATCTCCCAAGGGGAAGCAGGCAACAGACGATGTCTCGGGCCGAGGAAACGACCCTCAAACCCTTCGGGATATCGGAAGGTCATTCCCGAAGGGGGAGCCAACGGTTTGTTCCGTTGCCTCCCATATAGGCCAAGCCTTTCCTAGAAACCAAGTTTCTAGATGCCTCTCCTACACCATTAAAAAAAAAAAAAAAAAAAAAAAAAAAAAAAAAAAATGTGTGTAGGGGGGAAGGAACTCCCCGGATATTATTCTCCCCGGAGGCTCAACACTTCGGACATACATTCCCGAAGGCTCCTACAAAGGCACAAGAAAATCTCTCTACAATCAGTCATCTGGCTACATAGCCGAAGGCTCCCCTACATAAAGCCTTGGAGTACAACGGTTTTTCCGGAAGCCCAAGAAGAAAGCTCGCTAAGCAAAACTTCACCTAAATTTGGCTAAGGCCGAAATTCGGTTGGATCAAAGTCAACTATGTGACATACCGAAGGCTCCATAGAGTTCTAAGGCAAGCTAAATCTATACCTACACAAACCGGAGGGTTCATACCGACGAAGGCGGAATACTACCAAACTCACTCAATGATGACAATTTGGTACCCTTCGAAGGAGACTCATCAACCGAAGGGTCACTCTATGGGAGACACATCTCAGAATTCCACTAAGTCCATAATCTTGAACCCCTCGGCAACCATATACACCGGGGGCTCAGGCAATCCTCACACTCGACGGATTCACCATAGTATCTATTGAAACTTCGTGGAAAAATGACTAAGTCCACAAATGGGGACCCTTCGGGAGGGCAACTCTTCACCTACAGACTCATCACTACACTACTAAATGAAAGCTTCCAATTCATTCTATCCCTCGGCATCACTACTACGAACATCCGAAGGGGGTCGGTCCTACACTACGACCGGAGGCTCGCGACAAGAGTTCTTACTTAGAAAATTTTCTAAGTCCACAATCGCAAACCCCCCGGTAATTCTACTCCACATCCGAAGGGTTCTGATCAGGCTTTACTTGGAAAATTTTCACAACCGCAAACCCCCGGTGATTTTACTCTACATCCGAAGGGTTCCGATCAGGTTTTACTTGGAAAGTTTTCTGAGTCCGTAGCTTTGGGTGGATGTGATCAAGTTTTTACTTAGAAAAATTTCTAAGTCCACAACTACAAGCCACCAGCGAAACTATACTACAACCGAAGGCTAGTCGACAAAAGTACTCACTTAGAGATTTTTCTAAGTCCACAAATTTGTGGCCTCCGGGAAAGCAAACATTCATTCAAGAAAGGAAAGATCACTCATATGCAGATACAAAAAATAAACGAGGGCATGCATTCATTAGAAGGGAAGGCTGGCATAGAAGCGAGGGCATACATTCATTCAAACGAGAAAGGCATACAAGAAATCAAAGAAGATGGAAAGGACGACCATTGGTATAAAATCCCGAAGGAGAACATTCATCATGAAGAGTGTTTGTTACAATCATGGCCGGAGCCTATAAACTACACAAAATTTACACTTAAACAAATTGCTGAGTTGGGGCCTCCTCAGTTGCATCCCCCTTCGTCTTTGAGGAAGCATCGTCCTCGACTTCGTCTTCATCATCAAGGCCGCACTCCCTCAGCAACTCTGAGTCTTCCAACTGGCGTCTCTCCTCACCAGGAGGGAGGGGGGTCCTGACATCTGGCTGCCGAGGAGGGAGACCATATGCCGAGGGATCAAACTGGGAGGGCTCAACGCCGAAGTGATTGGCTAGCTTCCGGTAGATCAGGCGCTGGGTAAAGAATTCACCCCCATCAAAGTAATTCTTACCCTTCAGGGCCATCCACTCGGCTCCGGGGCCTTTCACCCAATCTTCAACGCCCTGCTCGATCACCGAGGCCACCCACTTTTCTCTCCCTTCGGCCTTCCACCCCTCGGCGAGAAAAGCTGCCACCGCGTCCTCCTCGGCCTTGGAAACCGCCTCGGCCTTAACCTTCTCAGCTTCCTCGGATGCCTGCTTAGCGGCCTCTGCGGCTGTCCTCTCTGCCTCCGCCTTGCCCTCGGCTCGGGCCCTCTCCTCTGCCTCCCTCAGCTCCTCTTTGGCCTTCTTCAAGGCCACCTCCAGCTCAGCGCCATACTTGATGGCCTCGGCATGCTCCCTGACGAGTTTCTCCAGGGTTGCTTCATCCTGCGCCTTCCTCGCGCGCATTTGCCCTACCCTCTGGATATACTCACCGAGGGCCACACTAGCCTGAAAATTATAAGAAAGCATTCGGGATCAGGATTATGCGAAGGGAGAGACGCGAAAGATAAAGGTACGAAGGGCTCAAGGACTTACAGAGACTGAGGCCTGGAGGGCCTTGAGCTCCAAAGCTTCATCATCAAACCGGCCGAGGGTGGACCGGTCTAGCGGAGTGGTGGCACCCCTCAGAAACTCCCTCGGATCGAGGGTGCCGTGCATGATAGCAGTCCCCTTCTTAAAGGAGAACTGCACTGTTTCCCGGGGCCAGGTGCCCTCGTCAAAGTCCTCGAGGGGGGTGGACTCAGAAGGATGGAAAGTGGGGGGTTCATCGATAATCACTAAGGGGGCATCCTTGCCCCCCTCGCCCCTCTTCTTCTTCTTGTTTTCCGGAGGCATGACGCCCTTCCCGGCATTTTTCCTTTTGAGCTCCCCGGCTTGGGAGCCCCCGGCGCTAGCACCGGCGCCTGCGGCAACAATCTCTTGGGATACCCCATCCCCCTCAGAAGTCTTGGGGGCCCCAGCTTTCTTCAATACTTCATCAACAAGAGGCTGGTTCGGCGGGGCCTCCTCCTCCTTCTTCTTCCTTGGCACCTTGGCCAGCTTTTTGGAAAGACGAGCGAAGGCCTGAACGTCCATGATATCACCTGTAACAATTCAGAAGGGGTTAGATTCAGAACAAGTAAAATACGGGAAAAATTCTAAGTACAAGACAGAAGAGCCCCCGGTTACAACCTCCGGCGCTCTGATATCCGCGGGCTATCACGGGATACTTCTCATCCTTATCTTCCGGTAGACGATAACGCCGGAAGCCCAACAGATATAGCTCCTCAGGCGCTGCCGCCGCCTTGATAGCAATCACCTTATCAGAACCCTCCGGTTTCTCGATAAGCTTCTTCCCGGCCTTGTCGAGGGCCGCATTGCCTACTTTCGGGTGCCTCTTGAAGTAATTATTAAGAGCCCCCGGGAATGGGTTGTCGGCGAGCCGAATGTAACAGAACTTCTCCTTCCATTCCTTGTGTGATGAAGGGGTCTCTGAAAAAAGCTTCCAGGCCGGAACCTGCTGAAGGTTAGCGTACCCTCCGGCATGAGTATGTCCTCCCCGACATAGGTTGAAAGAGAGGAAGAACTGGTCCAGTGAAGCGGTCACCCCCCGGCTTCGGCAGAGAGCCAGGAACCCCGCCAAGTAATAATGGCTATTGGGTGTGAGCTGACAGGGGGCCAATTTGACAAACTTCAAATATGATACTACGAACGGATGGAGCGGGAATCTGAGCCCCAGCTCCACCGAGAGCATATGTACCGAGAAGCACCCCTCGGGGGGATGGGATAGCAAGTCATTAGGCCCCGGTTCCACCACTTGCGCCGACGGCCCCACTAGGACTTGGAGGGCTAAACACTCGGCTCCCGACGCCGTGGTCCTCACCTCAAGGGCAGTGGTATCCAGGTATGAGTGTCCCTCGGGGATCCCGACTGGTTGCCCGGCATCCACGGCCGCTTGCTTCTTCTTCGGGGCGGCCCTCAGTTTTTTCTTCTTCTTGGCGGGGGGCAACACTCAAAGGCTCCGGGTCTAGGGGACGGGAGCTGCTTGCCTCACCAGCTCCGCGTGGGGGGGGGGCACAGCTACAGTAACCCTTCGCCTCTCCCTCTCTTCAGCCTCCTGAGCAACGTGGACGGCGAGGGCCATCTCTTCATCTTCAATCACCTGCTCGAAGTCCTCGGCCTCCATCTCCGTTCGGAGGTTACTCTGAATCTCCTCGGCTACGGCGAAGTCGTTGGCCAGCGACGCCCGATCACTGGAAGAGGCCACGTCAGATATGCTCTCTGATTGCGCCGAAGGTTCCCTCGAGATGTCTTGAGAATCACTCGCGGAGGACATAGTTGTAAACAAGGGAAAAGCGGCCTAACCGAGGGCTCTTAAAGTTTCCCTAGAATGCTAACGCTAAAACTAGGAGAGAAGGGAGCAGAAGGGGAACTGACCTCAGAAAGCTTGGGTTGATCGAGGGGAACTTTCTCTCTCTAGAATCAAATTGCCAGAGCTTCGCTATCTCTCAAAATCGCACAAGCACAAATGAGCTCAGGCTCAGGGTATTTATAGGCAACTGGGCCTCGATATATGGGCCTCGATTTGAAAGCCCATCATTACGGGCCGCCGGTTCAACCAATGGATAGCGCCCGCCCCCCACCGACCAACGGAGGCATGCCACGTCAACCCCTCTTCCAACGGCCATATTGCAACGGCTATATTTCAGAAACACTGGGATGCCCCCGAATGATAGCCTCCGGCTATCACTCACCGCAGCCTTCAGGCAACGAATTCCACCAAACGCCTTCGAGCCCAGAGCAACATAGGCCTTCGGCTTATCAATGTAACCACCCCTCGGGGGGTTCATCAACTCATCATAACTCCTTCAGCCCGAACTTGCCTTCGGCCTAAAGGAGTGGGGGACTGGGATACACCCCTCGGGAATCTTACAGAACAAAAGTTTCTTCATAAGTAATGCATACAGCCCCCGAGCAAAGGAGGAATCAGCACGTAACCCGGTGCACCCTTCGACAAGGGCAAAATAAGATATCAAAAGTTTCCCTCAGAAAACCCTCGACATGTGAGGGACTGAGGGAAGCCTTCGGCTAACAGCGGAAGGCAAATTCTCAAGCGGGGGCGCCCAACAAAGTGATGAAGCCTCCGGAGGAATCAGCGCAACTACTCCTTTTCCCTCAAGTACCTTTCGGCAAAAGAAGTGAGGGACTCCTGATGGAGTATATGGCCCAGGAACCCCCGGCCCATAGACTCCTACTTCTCCTGCACAAGTCCATTGAGCCCAGGAAACAACTCGGGCCCAAATACAACGGCCCAAGCCTCGAAGAAGCCCAGAATACGCACTGGGGTGCCTTCGGCCTCCTTGGCCGAAGGCTCCAAAACTCACAGGATAGCCTTCTCTAGCATAAAAAGCTACTGGGAGAAAACGGCGAAAAACATGAGCCTTCGGCATTATCAAACCCTCGGATCAGAGAAGCCTTCGGCTGAACAAAGCCTTCGGCTACAAGGAGCCCTCGGCTGCACAAGGAGCCCTCGGCTGCACAAGGAGCCCTCGGCTACACCGGGAGCCTTCGGCTGAACTAGCTCAATCATCGAAGATTCCTTTTAGAGACAGCCAACCACCGCATTTAATACCACGTCACATCCGCCAACCGCATTCAATGCGGTGGACGTACCACTGCCGGTGCCAACCGGCTGATGTGACCCTTCGGCCGTTGGATTACTGACACGTGTCCTCTCATCGCATTTATTGCTGCTATAAATAGCAGCCCTTATTCTCCTTGTAAACCACGCTGAGTTCATTTAATAAAATCGACTCTCTCTCCTCCTATTTGCTCTGACTTCTCTCTAGTTATTTCCGCAATAACCCCTCGGATTAGATACCCCCCGGGTAGACTATCCATCATGGAGTATATCAAGATGTCATCAATGAATACTATCACAAATTGATCTAAGTATTCACTAAACACACGGTTCATCAAGTCCATGAATGCTGCCGGTGCATTGGTTAACCCAAATGACATCACAAGAAACTCGTAGTGACCATATCTAGTGCGAAATGCACTCTTAGGTATGTCACTCTCCTTGATCTTCAACTGATGATACCCCGATCTCAAGTCAATCTTTGAGAATACTATGGCCCCTCGAAGTTGATCAAACAAGTCATCAATCCTAGGTAAAGGATACCTGTTCTTGATGGTGACCTTGTTCAACTGTCGGTAGTCGATACACATTCTTAGTGTACCATCTTTCTTCTTTACGAAGAGCACGGGTGCTCCCCACGGTGAATGACTGGGTCTGATGAACCCGTTGTCCAGTAATTCTTGTAGTTGGACCTTCAACTCTTGGAGTTCGGCCGGCGCCATTCGATAAGGAGGAATCGAAATGGGTTTGGTTCCCGACTCCACTTCGATTACAAATTCAATCTCTCTATCGGGTGGAAGCCCCGGTAGGTCCTTGGGAAAGACGTCCGGGTACTTGCACACGACTCGAACATCCTTGATGTCGACTTCTTTCTTCGTATCATCTACCACATATGCAAGGTATGCGTGGCATCCCTTCCTCATCATCTTTCGTGCTCTCATCACGGATATGATACAAGCATTAGATTTCCCCCGATCTCCCTCGAAACATAGCGTGTTCCCTTGATCATCCTCGAGCTCCAACACCTTGGTGTAGCAATCTACCCGGGCATGGTGTTTCTCGAGCCAATCCATTCCTAGGATTGCATCAAACTCCAACATGCTTAGAGGTACGAAATCACAAGTCAAAGGTTGACCCGTCACTTCTACCTCACACGACGGATAGTAATGATTTCTCTCCACGTCGTCTCCTAACGGTGTGGAGACTAGCAACGTTTGAGTCATAGGTGTCAATGGCACGTCAAAGCCCTCGGCGAACGCCTCACTCACAAATGAGCGTTGTGCCCCGGGTATCGATGAGGATCCTCGCACACCTACCATTGATCTTTAATGTTCCTACATTTATACACCATGTAAGATACATTTTCTAATGTTTTTACACATCTTTAGGAGGTTATTAGGCTCATACTAATGTTTGGAATCAAACGGGAGTCCAAACGTAGAAGAACGGGGCGGAAAAATCCGATTTCCGGGTTCTGGGGTCCACGCACGGCGTGCCTGGGTGGCACGCACGGCCGTGCGTGCATCGGATCCTTCCTGCTTGCCACTGCCCGGCCAGGCACGATGCCAGGCACGGCGTGCCTTCGGCCGTGCCTGGCCAAAAATTTCCTTCGGACACACTGCCTTCCAGGCACGACGCCAGGCACGGCGTGCCTGCGGCCGTGCCTGGCCCAAATTTTTTTTTTTTTTTTTTTTTTCTTCTTCTTCGGGTGCCACTGCCTTCCAGGCACGATGCCAGGCACGGCGTGCCTGCGGCCGTGCCTGGCCCAAATTTTTTTTTTTTTTTTTTTTCTTCTTCTTCGGGTGCCACTGCCTTCCAGGCACGATGCCAGGCACGGCGTGCCTGCGGGCGTGCCTGGCCAGCAGTGGCTGTTTCCAGCCCGATTCGGCCTAACTCACCCGGTTTGACCCCGGGGTGGGCCGCACTCAATCCCAACGACGTATATGACCAAAGTAAGCCTAGAAATACATGGGAATACGTGTTTACCTGCAACGGAGTCTGGGTTTGCTCTCGCATCCGCCTCGGTCATTGCGTAGACCCTTGCTTGGGCGCCGCCTTGATTGACGGACGTAGCGTTGCTCATCGTTGGTTCCGTATGGTTTCCTTTCACGGTGAGCCCTTCCTCGGCTTGCAATGTCTCTCGTTGCCTCCTCCATGGGCAACTTAATTTCATATGGGTTGTGCTCCCACATTTGTAGCACATCGGGGGCTCGTTGCACTTTCCAAAATGTTTCTTAGAGCAATTAGAACATTTGGATGGTCTTAAGGAGTAAGGAAAGGACGTGTGCCACTTTGAGTTCCTTTTCTTTTTCACCGGTGATGCCGGTGCCGTAAGAGTGCTTTCTCCTCCTTGGTCGTTTGCCCAAGGATGGGTTTGGCTGACAGTCATATCACGTTGGGAGGTGGCCCGATCTCGCCTCGCCTGACGCCTACGTTCGTTCCTCCTGGTGTTCATGTTACACATCGAGCCCACTTGATTAGCGTTTGCCGCTTGGCGGCCCTCCCGGCCCCCATGGCCTATTCCTCTCCCCGTAAAGGCTCGTGACACAGCCCGGCTAGCCTCAAGGTAAGCTACCGACGCTTGTCCCTTAGGGTCATTTCTTGTTGCCATTCGCTTACCCTCCATTTCTGAAACGGAATTTGGACGAGTCTTTAGACTCCTATGAATGTCAATTGACGGAAAAACGTTATAGACACGTATCGACCCAAGTCACCACCATACCAATTGTTAAGGGTACCATCTTAACAATTAGAGGCCTTGCAACTTAAGCACCAATAGTCCTATAAACGTCAAAATACAATGCTCATGGTTTTCGGTAAAAACTCTTTTGTAAAATCTTTTGTGAGAGGTTGATTATATAGTTTAGAACTGAGATGGCTCTGATACCACTTGTAACACCCCGGCCCCACCGGACCCGAGGTAGTTACTCCGGACCAATAGTACTGTCCCCACAAACCACCACGAGCCTTTACCGCGCACTTTGTCCTCACTCATGCGCGCCCTGAGAAACTTTCCAGGGGGTCACCCATCCCAAGACTACTCCCGAGCAAGCACGCTTAACTTTGGAGTTCTTAGGTAATGAGTTCCCTTAAAAGGAGATGCACCTCTGTTTGTATGAGTAGTACTATTAATCCGTTTATATTAAATCTCAAGTGTTACAATCACCCCCACTTAGGATCACAACGTCCTCGTTGCGTCCTTGAACCAATCTCAAATCTCAATCAAATCCCAGAATCTTCTCCCGCTAAGTGCCCGCCCGATATCCAACGGGTCAGCGCACTGTCGCAGGGTTGCTCTGATACCACTTAATTGTCACGCCCCAGACCGCAATCCAAGCGCGTGTACAACCGCCGTATAACCAAGTGACGTCACCCGCGAGTCAACCTCACTTAATTACACAAGGCGTTCGAGAATATAATCCATCCATACTCAGTAGTAAACATACATAACAACATCACATTAAACCAATGAATAGCGGAAATATTCAACGGTAAGTCATAAGCCACAACCGGCCAACAACATGGGCATGCAAGCCCCAAAAATAGTTTATAGTAGAACAAATATCCATGAGCAAGTGTTCGGTAGTTTGAAAGAAAATAAGGAAGCACGAACCACGTCTTCCTGAGTCGATATCACCCGTAAGAGAGGTGCAGGTAGCAAGCCCTAGCTTCAACCTGAAAATGGTGGGGCCCCCCGAAGGGGTCAGTACAAGTACCGAGCGAGTAGCAGGCTAAATATAGAATAACTAGCGTTTCAAGTATAAGACCCAAACATAGGGTGATACTTAAATAAATAGTCTTTCCCCCAAGTTATGAAATACTTATTAGTATATATATATACTTGGAAAATATCTGATCCGTAGATCACCATTTTATTTGGGAAAAATAGTAATAGTCAATATTCTTGACTAAAAACCCCAACCCACCCATATACCTATGAGTGTATAGGACTCCTCCTTGTCCCTATTTGTATATCAAATCTATGAGTTTTAGGATCATAATCCTTGGATACTCCACCCTATAACCGAGTTTTGAGGATAACCGCCCGATCCTTGGGTGCTCCACCCTATATAACCGAGTTTTGAGGATAACCGCCCGATCCTTGGGTACTCCACCCTATATAACCGAGTTTTGAGGATAACCGCCCGATCCTTGGGTACTCCACCCTATATAACCGAGTTTTGAGGATAACCGCCCGATCCTTGGGTGCTCCACCCTATATAACCGAGTTTTGAGGATAACCGCCCGATCCTTGGGTACTCCACCCTATATAACCGAGTTTTGAGGATAACCGCCCGATCCTTGGGTACTCCACCCTATATAACCGAGTTTTGAGGATAACTGCCCGATCCTTGGGTACTCCACCCGACCTATGACTTACCACATATCACACTAGATAGGGTCTATATCATATTTAGTCATTCATAACTAATTCAATACATAAAACTTATGTATCACATTCCATGCAAAGCCATGCATTTATATAGGTTTATAATTAATTAATACCAACCGGTATTAGTTAAATCCTTTGTTCTTCGGTCCACGTTTTCGTTGACCGCCATTTCATGCCTTGTGTGTATCAACTTAATCATCATGTAATTAAGTTAATAATGTTCATTTGTACTTCCAATACACTTCAAGCAAATATGCATTTCATATAATTCTTCATATCATAATCCATGCATCAACAATTAATTTCTTTCATACAAACTTAACCCTATTGGCTAATCACATGTTTAAATATCTTTTAAATATCATTATGAACTCATATAACATTTATTTAGGTAATCTCATAATTAACCCAAAAGTTATAAGATATTAAGCCGTCCACTCACCTTGAACTAGCGTTATGAAGTTCTACCCTTCTTGGTTGAACTCCGGTGAAACTCCGACGACTTTTGGTCAACTCCGGCGACAACTCCGGCGACTTTTCCAACTTTGTGAAACCACTTGAAATACCCTTTACAAGTGCCTAACAAGGTTTTAAAATCATAAAACCCATATTAATACAAATAACCTCTAAAAGGTCATTTTCCGGTGAACCGGTCGTTTTGGCATCTAAGTCCGTTCTTGGACTTAGAACCATCTTCCAACCCATTAATCCATACTTATAACATGTAGAACCCTCTTAAGGATTCTTCACATGATATGTATCTCATGTGGTAGAAGAAAAAATAAGGAAGAAGTTATAATAAGGTCATTACCTTAATTATTTCACACTTTTAGCACTTTAGCTCCTTTTTGGGTGATTCTTCCTTGATGAGCTTTCTTCAACAATGGAGGAAAGAAGAATGGAGAGTCTCCTCTCTCTTGTTGCTGTAGCTTGGCCGAAAATGAGGAGGGGAGAGGGATGAGGATGGACTTTGTCTCATTAATCCAATGAGTGCAAAAATGAGGGTCCACCTTAGGTACTTTGATGCCTTTCCAATCAATTCCCAACACCTCCCACCTTCCTACACTCATTCCAGCGGCCCAACCCTTGTCTTGAGTGTCTAATTTCGTGGGTTGGCCCCCACCTATGTGGGAGGTCACCCCTTTTTGCCCAGAAGTGTACAATCGGCCCCGAAAGTTGTATTTTTCGGACTGTTTTAAATATATTTTATTTTATCGGGTCAAATAAAATATATTATGTGCTCTTACTCATTATGACATGTATAATGAATATACATTCCCCAACTTAATTTATTAAGCCTCCGAAATTCAGTTCGGGCTGTTATCAGTTAAATCACCAGTACCGGTAATTTGGGCTTCTTTTGACTAATCGGTCAACTCTGGGCCTTTCCATGGTCCAAATGAAATATCCACCCCTATATATATTTATTATCTAGACCAAGATGAATAAAATATATGGTTTCGGGGATGTCGGGCGGCCCCCGCTCCCGGTGTGGGTCCCACGTGCAATTTACTATTCACGCGAACGAAATAATAAAAATTTACAACTTCGTAAATTCATTAATCCTTTAATAAGGTTCAATACATTATTTACATAAGAGTAAATATATTTGGGGACGGTGTTACAAGAAAAATAGTCATAATTACAATATGTAATTGATTAAACGAAAAAGCACAAAAGCTTTTAAAACAATAAAGAAATTGATAAAATTATAAGGGACATGAAGGCATGACATATGTATTTGGTGCATATTTTAAATCACAATAAGGTGTGCTTAATCATACCCCTCATAATACAATTATGACTATCCCGTCAATTAGCTTGGTATTTGTAGATAAAATATAATAAGTGGAGTACTCCATAGAACATAAAACGACTTAATTAAATTTTGGGTAGATGATAGAAAATTAATATTATTAATAGTATTAATGATATATTTATTGCTTTAGATAAAATTAACAATTTTTGTGATAAAAAATTTGACAATGTTTTTGGAATAGGAAAATCTGACAAAGTGGCATGCCTAAAAAATTTGACAATGTTTTTGTGATTCTGTTTCTGCTTTTTAAAAAAAAAAATAGAAGCAGAATCAGAATCAGTTTTCAGAAGGTGATTTCCCCCAACTTCTTAAAAAACTGATTCTAGGAGTAAATTAGAGCAACAAAATCACTTGTACACTTTCACTCAAACACTCCAATTTCCGTTGTTCCTCCTCGAAGGAGAAGTAGTTTTAAGAATCAAATACAAACACCCCTAAATTACTTAAATTAAGTTTTAGCTCCTCAAAAAGTGTTACGGAGTAATTTACGGAAAGCAATCACTCCAAATTTGGCAATTAACACACAAAACTCACTTTCTCTGCCCCCTTCTATGAGTTCTATCCGAACAATTAACCTTCCCAGTCCCAATCCAGAACACGTCCCTCATCAAAAGAAGCTGCAATCGGACGGAAAATGTTACGGAGAGTTTTAATCACAATCAGTGCACGTATTGTTAGATGATAATCGATTGATAGGCTGAAAACATGAAATTGACAAAGACACAAAGTTCATGTATATTTACATGCGTTGAACGCAGAAATGTCTTGTCTGTGAATATATATATAGAAAATCAACAAGCAATGTGGAATTCATCACTTTCAGGTTTTCACCATACATAGAGATAAGCATTCATGTGCGCACTGATTTATTAGATTAGGGGAGGAAGAGGTAGCTGCGGTGAAATTGGAATCCAATTTGTTGGTTCCGGAAGAGCGCCAGCGGAGACGGCGCATAAGGTGGTGGTGCTACAATTTTATTTAGGGTTGTCGGTGCGGAGGTTTGGAATCGGACTAGGCTACGGTTGTAGTTGGTAGGGATCGTGGCGGTTGAGAAGGGAGGAAGATGCAGCTGCACTTCTCACCTAGCATGAGAAGTATAACGATATCGAGCAGCAGCGATGGAGGATTTGGTGATTTGATGAAGATCAAGCTCGCAGCTCGCCACATCTCATACCGAACGCTCTTTCACACCATCCTTATCTTGGCTTTCTTGTTGCCTTTTGTCTTCATTCTCACAGCTGTTGTTACCCTTGAAGGTGTCAACAAGTGCTCATCGCTTGGTACTTTACTTTTTCCTCTGTTTGCAGTTATTGCATCAAACTTCGTGATATGTTTACTCTGTTTGATGTTGTTTGAGGTCAGATTCTTCTAACTAATTTTTCATGAGGTAAAGAGTTTGGTTGGCCAATGAACATTATATTATTCCACACTGTTTCTGTGATAACGGGTGAAGGGGTTGAGGAGAGGGGGTACATGTGAAT